AGGCTTTCGAGCCTATACAGCTTGGAGTAAGACAACATGCATGAAGAGGATGATGTGGACAAAATACTCATTTGCCTAATAATTCTGCACTCCCTGTAGGTGTGCTGTGAGAAATGATCAGCTGTGCTTAGTACTCTAAGCCAGCGGTCCCCAACCTTTTTTGCCCCACGGACCAGTTGATACCTGACAATATTTTCACGGACCGGCCTTTAAGGTGTCGCGGATAAATACAACAAAATAAAACTAGTACCAGTATCGAAAAAAAAAAAGATTTATTCATAACACACGTGAAAAGACTCAGGAAAACTGAGTTAACGATAAAAACGATAACAAAATAACGCTGAAAACCGATAAAAACCCTGAAAGCCATACATTTCACACCTGAGCCTCTACTCTCGTGGCCCGGTACCAGTCCGAGGCCCGGGGGTTGGGGACCGCTGCTCTAAGCCACCGGCTGAGTAACGGGTAGAACAATTACATTCTCTTCCACTAGAGGGCAGTACAACTATCTGATCTAATTGAATGGGTTCCCAACTGCCAGTAAAACAAAAGAAGAAATTACATAATAGTCATGCTGTGAGAAAACACGGTGCGTAACAACAATAGATAAATATTTGAAAAGAAAAAGTAATCAGTCTGACCTCAGTCCTGGAGAAAATTCTGACCCAGATGACGGCCCTAGCATGAGTAGTGGTCAGAAGAAAGCAAAAAAATTACATATTTGTTTGGTGGTGTGTTGTGTGATATTTCTAATGTGAAATATGTGCCATATAAATAGTATAAAAAAAAACCACACACACACACAAAAGTGAAAGAGTTGGGCAGATTTTTAGAAAATGAAATGGCTGGTCATGGACAGACACGAGATTATCAATGATTCCACCTTTGCGTAATAAAGAGGAATGCTGTATCACTAGACAGCTGATCAGCTTGTTTCATTAACTCATCTACATAAGGCATTTTGTAGAGGGTACAGCAGCTGTGGCAGTTTTTCTTGAAACAACAACTGTAATCTGCACATTTCCAATTTCATCTCCAAATTTCCACTGTATTCTCCAAGTGATCAGCAACAACTTTATGTCTTAATGTGGCCCTAATACTGCGTGGTAGACTCAACATGATAGATTTACAAACTGGGCTCTGCTCCAGCAGACTGGTCACAGTCAAACAGAGAGAGGACGACTGCTAAAACAGCTTTTACATTTTTCGTGTTAGGATGAGACACAACCAAAGTTCCTGTATTAAACTGTCTGTTCATAACTCACAACACTTTAAGCTGCCTGCATATCACTCACACTATTTCTATAAGTCAGACGTCGAGCTGTCACACGTTCATTTAGCTTTTCTTTCTTGCTAAGAATAGTAGTTTAAATATCTCTTTAAAATAATAATATATAATCATTTATGGTACATATTATATAGTAATACTAAATCAAAGCTGTTGTAACTGTATAAAATAGATGTGATTTAATTCAAAGTGCAGATGTTCCAGATGTTTTCAGTCTCTGTTTTTCAGTGTGAAAGAGGAATAAATGAACAATTGGGAGCAAACAAACATTAACATGTAGATGTTGTACTAAAGTAAAGCTTTTGATCTGACTGCAGTGAATATAAACTTTGATTTTTCGGACATGAACCTTTTTCCTCTCATCATCTTATAATATTAGAATATTTCAAATCAATCAAATGTGTTTGAAATGTCAGATTTAAGTCACATTGTTGAAATGTTTGTTCCAGGCTGTAAAACGTGCACTGTAAGATGTGAACTTCAGGAAAACTCAGTGGAACGCTCTAACTGTACTTTAATGTTAATGTCAGCCTGTTGATTTCCATGTGAGCCCATGTAGTTAATCAGAATTTCAAATCAGGACTTTATGTCACGACAAAATGTTGTGTAGCTCTACCTGTTCAAATTGTTCAGATCTGCTTAAATGACAGAGATTTAGCAACAAAACTTTCAGTGCACTGTAAAAGTAACAAAATAAAAAGGAAAAAAGAAAAGAAAAGCCTTGTTAAGTCATGACATATGCTCTTCGTCCCAGGAGGGTAAATCATACCAAACCTAATTGGCAGGTTCAAATTTGTAACAAAAGACAAATCATCAGCCAGATTAATCTCAAGCATTCATCCATCAGCCACACACCTTGCGACACACAACATACAACATAACCCTGATGTCTTTTCACATAATAAGTTTCTTCTCATGTAATCAGATGTGTGCCATGTTAAAACTTCTTCACACACCTCAGAAACTCAACAACCTATTAGCTCACCCAGCTCATTCTTTCAAGACCCCTCATCAGCATTCTGTTTTCCCCCAGCTTTGATGCAATCATCTGTCCTCCCATAATATTAGTCCACTAGTCTATGTATCACTTCTCATCTAAGTGACTTGGATAAGATGACAAACAGAATCACATGCTTAAGATGCTGTCTGGTCTTCATGAGTTTCATTGTATGTGTATGTAGGGTTAGTAGGATTAATACATTTACCGTTTGTGTGTTTTTTTTGTGTACCTTTCTCATTTTGTAGTGCTTCAGACTCCTCAAATGTTCCCACTTAAAGCAGTTATTTTCCTTTTTCACAGGTTTGCTAACCCAAATTTTGATTTCCCACACTAAACAACAGCATTCCTCTGTGTACTCACCTGCTTCCTCCACTCTGTTCTCCTCTCCCACTCTGCAGTCCAATGGCAGTCAGTTCTCTTCAGCTTTGGCCTGTGTTTTCCACTGTCTCATCTTGCCATTTCACTCCAAAAGTGGCAAATGTCACTCAGACAGTCTCCTCAAAAGTCATCTTCACACAGTGAAGTTGTAGCTTGCTGGAAACACATGTCCATCCAGTCAGGTGATGGGTTTTCTTTCTCTCTGATGCCGTTTGCCCAAAGCGCTGCTGGACCTCTCTGCTCAGGACACTGCTGTCTCTTGACCTGCTGTGAGCTCTTGATATCCATCTCATTGTTCTAGAACTCCACTCCTTGTCTTCAGGCAGAGGTTAGCTTCCGTGGAGCTTGCTTTCTCAGGGTGAGAAACACATAGGAGTTAACCTGTAAACACAATTCAGCCAAGACTCGGCCTGGGTGTTTCTAATGATGTTAACCTATAATTGTCGTCCAACTGCTGCATGTGGAAATTTGATCCTGGTCTGCTTTTCACCTGCAAGTCACACACTAAGACATGTTCATTATTATCATCACTGCTTAAACAACACACATCTCCTCTCTCTCTAGTTTTTGAACTCTCCTTTCTTTAAAACAGAAAGTGAGATTGAAGTTGCCTTAGGCTGAGCTCTTCATTTATCAATTCCTTTTTTTTTCATCAACAGCACAACTATTTTCTTTCTTTTCTGTCCACTGGGGTAGAAGCTGACCTGCAGAATCACCTCTTCCCCAGTTGGAGACTATTCTCGCCC